AAAATAATGGGGGATTTGAAATACATGTAAGTGAGTTCTAATTAACAGGGTTCAACTGTACTTATAAAAGTTATGGTTTGCATGAACAGTAATCATTGGACTCTTTAATTTACCTCATCTGTTTCAGCACTGTCAGCAATCTGGTATATAAAAACGAATAATAATTGCATTAATGTTTGTTTGGAAGTGTTTGGTGGTGCAATATTGATGAAAGGAAAATCCTATTTCAGTTACAATCATAATTTTTAGGACTGGAATACTTCATATAGAAGTAATTAGAAGCTTGCATATATTTATTAATGGAAACATGATAAAAATTGTAATTGCTAAGCCAAAAAGAATAAGACTGTGGTAAAGAAAAATTAGCGGCTGTTTTGTAATTTGTTACATTACATCGCGTATGGATTCCTTGAATTTTATTATTGCACATGAATGTGCAAAACAAATAACTAAGTAAATAGTCAGTAACTAGGTACAAAATGTAGGAGTAGAATGTGGAGGTGGTAGTTATTGGGACTTGATAAATGAGAATTTTTTATACATGTAGTTGTAAAAAGACTGTTAATGAATTGAAAGGTGGATTAAGTCATAGCCAATAACAGCATCTCATAAAAGCGTAGTAAAAGGTAGTGTTTAAAGTATAGTTAGTGAAGAAAAATCAAATGAATTGATGGATTTACCTGTTGCCAGTGTAACATTTGTTCTTTAAGATCGTGGTAAATTTGTCTACTCACCTATATAATGGATACAAGATTCTGCATTTATTTATTTATAGCTACTAAAAAAGAGTAAATATTGTCAAATGCACTATGTTTTATGGTAGTACTGAATGCCTTATTGTTGAGTTCATAGTAAAAAGGAAGTCACTGGGAAATGGAAATAATATTTTAAATAGCAGAACACTAGGATAAGAATATATTTTCAGAACTTATACTACAAAAAGTTTATGTTGAACTTACATAAGGCTTTATTTTTGTTTTAAAATTAAATATTGCAGGGCTACAAATAATTTCCCGGCTGGTGCTGGTCAAATTGTCTGGTCAAACCTACAGTGTATTTTACGTTGGACATATCCCATTTTTGGTTGGACAAACTTCAATTACATCTTATTATTATAAAAGTGCCTCCTCTTCCTTCATATGATGTTTAAATA